ACATACATACATACATACATACATACATACATACATACATACATACATACATACAGACATACATACATACATACTTGTTTACATTGGAAACTATACTCACACAAATATTTTACACAGTACTCATTCATCAACGTGTCTATATTGTCATCCACGTCCAGGTCGTCACAATTGATCGTTCCGTTTGTGTAGTTATACAATTCTGTGCAATAGGCGCTGTGAAAAGACCCGGTAGTGTACAGTAAATAAAGTTGTTAACTTGGAATTCCAAAGCGCCTGTTTTTATCCTGGGCCGATACAGGCATAATTGCATTATTGGTGGGCGTCTTATTTGTTTTCTTTAGTGATCTTAGGGCACATGGAATTCAGCGCCCAATTTTTTTCGGATGAAGACAAAATCTCTTACTTCTATTCGTGTAGGTTGTGTACGTTAAAGTATAGGATTTAGAATTCAAAGGAAATGTTAACTGAAAAAATTCTGGTTCGTAGACGGTGGGGGAGAAAGGCATAGTGTTACTGGATAGGGGAGAAAAACACGTTTGAAGGAAATCTATTCTCTGTTGCGTGTGTGTATGGTTCAGTTGCACTCCCTGTTAAAGAATACAAATTCATTTTATTTCATAGACGGTTAAGAAGAAGAAAAAGGACGGGGATGAAATGGATCACTTTCAACTTCAATACCAGCTCCCTCTACAATCTGACATTACTTACGTGATTTTGTCTATGTTCGAGAACACATCATGGGGTGTGATGTTTCGTGGCACGATGAACTCTGGGATACTCTCCAATTGGTCTCTCAACAATCCCCTATCCACAAGATCTCCAAGCATTTTGGTGAACAATACCTGGTTGCCGGGGTAGCAAACTCCATTGATCACAGCACACAAGGACCCAGTGAACATAAGGAGCAAATCGAGCGGGCTTGCGAACTTAAGCTGCAAGTATAAAAACATCCCAGTGTGTTTTTGCTCTTTCATACCACCTGTTAATTTAACATAACAATATTGTTTTCATGGAGGACGGCATTCCAGAACAGTATGAAAAGGATAATACCTGTCATGATTTCACCTATATTCGTTTCTCGCTATACGTGGTAATTGCTTTTGCCGACGAAGTTGGATAGAGAGTATGACTTCATCAGTGATTGTCTTGGTCTTTTTTGTGCTCTTCATTTGTATAGGAAACTTCAACATGTTTATCGTGTATGTCAATGGCCATATAAATTTAGTAAGAGTCAGAACAGCTTTAATGTAATCATTATATAGCAGGCATTGCACGTTATGCCATTGGTGCTTCTTATGTTGGGAATGACACCCGACCTACACTTTCAGTAACAAAACAGGCGAGTACCTTATGACAAAAGGGATGCTTTCTTGCGAGGGTCGAAGGAGAGTCCAACGGAACAGCAAATAGGGCATCCAATCAAGAGCACAAAAAGTATGACCCGTTCTCTTCAAAGGAGAATTTAGCACATTCTTAAACACGACATGCCTTACAAAATGAGCGTCAAAAATTGTTATTAGGATGAAAGTCCATGAAATTGTATAATTGTATCGGTGGGGACAATTATGACAATTAGATGAACGTGGCTAAAAATCACGGATCGGAGCTATAATTCACTTTAAGGGTCTAGTGCGGATTTGAACCTTAACATGTTGGGGTTTTTTTTGGTTTGTTAAAGAAAAAAAAAAAAAAAAAAAAAAACAACAACGCCCTAAGACCAAAATCGAGACAGACCTGAAACCGTAAGGAACTGTTAACAAAATAGCACAAAATAACAGCATGGAGAGAAACAACACGACAATCACCAATTCCCGTATCCGGACTTGTGGAGGTCTTTCCTTCTTCTTCTTTCCGGTGTCACTGAGGTCCTCGTCATCTTCGATGTTGTCGCGTTCATCGCTAAACCCAGAGTTTCCATCGTTTCTTACAAGTTTCAGATCCTCTCGTAAGCTGATCCCTGTTTCAGGGAAGTGGGAAAATGTGTGTGTGAGTGTGTGTGTGTGTGTGTGT